GATCCTGTCTCTTAGTAAAATACAAAAATGGGTTTAGGATGTGACTCACTGGTCAAGTCCCCCTGAGTTCAATCCCTGGTACCAAAAAAAAAAAAAAAAGAAAGAAAAAAAACAGAGTGCTCAGTGAAGCCCATTAACAAATGCTATCATGAAAAAAAAAAAGATAATGTAAAAGGAAAGCATACCATTTCTTAATGCTTATTTGTATGAAAAACTGAAACATTTCAATTTGTTGGTTAAGAAGTGAGTGCACACGCCTGTAATCCCAGCTACGGCTGAGGCAGGAGGATTGCAAGTTTAAGGCCAGCCTGAGCAATTTAGCAAGACCCAGTCTCAAAATAAAAGAAAAGAAAACATGCTAAGGGTGCAGCTCAGTGGTAGAGTGCTTGCCTAGCATGCACAAGGCCCTGTACTTGCAAAAATAAATAAACAAATAAATAAACATATTATGTTCACTGGCCAGGCACAGTGGTGCACACCTGTAATCCCAATAACTCAGGGTGTTGATACAGGAGGATGGCAAGTTCAAGGCCAGCCTTAGTAATTTAATAAGACCCTCAGCAACTCTGCAAGACCCTGTCAAAATAATTAATTAATTAATTAATGGCTGGGAATGTGGCTCAGTGATAGATTGCCCCTGGTTCCAATCCCCAGTACTCTGGGGGGGAAAAAAAAATCCTGCACTGGTATGAAAACTTTTTCTTGCCAAATGAGTTAGCAAAAATGAAAACATTGGGGGCTGGGGATGTGGCTCAGTGGTAAAGTGCTTGCCTAGCAAGTGTGAGGCACTGAGTTCAATCCCCAGCATCACCAAAAAAGAAAACATTAACTTATTGGAACAGAGGAGACATTACTTTAGAGTGTGGGGCATGCCATTAAATCACACTGCTGTGTACCACCTCCAAAGCACCTTTATTTTTTTTGCACTTAACAAAAGACATCTCCAGTTACAATGATGCCAAAGTTGTAAAAAATAAAAAAATTCCCAACACACACATACATACACGGTGTGTGTGTGTATGTGTGTGTATGTGGATATCAGCCATTATTGATAAATACCTTTAGTAAAGATATATTTTTATTGTTAATATTCTTTCCCTTTGAAGTTACCCAGAGTATCACTATCACAGTTAACACACTTGAAAGGCAGAACATCTCAAATTCATATTTCAAAATTATAGCTTAAGAACAAACAAACAAAAAGCCTAAAAATCAAGGATATAAAACATCATCTGTTAGGTGTTGCCTGGTTAACAGTACCAAGGAATTCTAGGTTACCAAAGGCATTCATCAGAAAGGGTGACCTTTGGAGTGCCAACAACCAGGGCTCCCGAAATATGGGGATTTCGTCAGAAGTCACTTTTAAGTGGAGAGATGAGTTGTCTGACTACACTCCCACGATTTTTGTTTGCAAACAATTTGTTTGCAAATAATTTTCCCCATGTGGGAATGCGTCAAATGTTTGTGTCTAGGTGACACTGGGACTTGGTTTCATTTGACTTGTGGTCCTTTCCTGCCCGTCAGGGTGGGCCCAGGTCAACACAAGTTGGTCTGCACCCTTCCTCTCCCAAGATTGGCAACCTGACTGTGGAAAAGCCATTTCACATCATTGTGTGACAAATCCTTGATCGAGGGCAGGTTCAGTGGGGCTGGTTAAAGCGGAAAAGAGAGAAAAGCCATCCGCGAGAGAGTGAAACAAACCGACACGCGGCTCCCTGCAGCAGCTGAACCCCCATCTCCTTTCCTCCGCCTCCCTCTTCTCCATTTGCACCCTACCAGCTGCAACTGAGGTTTTTTAACCCCATTTCACGTGGAAACCCAGCTCCTTGCAAATACAGATAGATGGAGGTACAAACAGTGGAGTGAGGGCGGGAGGAGTAAGGGGTGCCGAGGAAAGTAGAAGGTGGCGAACAGTAGGGTGCGGTGTTGGGGTGGGGGGGGCGAGGCTAAGCAGGCGGCATTGTTATGCCCCAGGAAGGGGACGGAAGGGGAGGATGGGCCAGGCAGGAAAGCTCCAAATCAAACCAGGGACTGGGCGGAGAAAAAGAGGCCCAGAAAGGAAGGCAGCGGGGCGAGGTAATGCCAAGTGGGTTTCTATGGTGGGGTCCCCACGCCCCGGGGCCTACCCAGGGCACCGGCAACCCTTCAGCCTCTGACGGCGAAAGGGACCACGCCGCGGCCCTCCGGATTCTTCCCCTCCTTCGCTCCCCGACCCACACAAAGAAAGAGCCGGAGGAGCTGAGCCTAAGACTCCGCCGCTTCCTGGTTCAAGTGAGGCGAAAGCAAACGCAGGCGCGGCCCAGGAACCGAGGAGGCAGGCACGCTCCTTCGCCCCCTCCCGGATTGGGGCCGGGTCCTCACCTGCTTCCTGGCGCCGCCGCTGCTCCTCAGCCGCGGAAGGGTGGGAGTCCTCCAACAACAAGAAGCCGGACTCCCGGACGATTCTGCTGCTTCTTTAAACGTCGCTCCAGTCTTGGTCGACGTCGACGCGGCTACCGCCTCCTGCCGCCACGGCTGCTACAGCTGCCCCACGCCACCGACAGAGGGCACAGCGCGGGGGCGAAGCTCTGAAGTCAGAGGCGCCCTCCTCTTCCGAGTGCAGTCCGAGGGTTTCCGGAAGGCCCCGAGCTCTACGCGACTGCGCTTCGGTACCCTATTCAGCCTTCGGCTCTTTCCGCAAAGGGGCGGAGGAAGACTGCGAAGTTCTTGAAGCTCTTTCCGGAGGGCAAAAGGGTGGGAAAAGGAAAGGGAAAGATCAGGTAAGGCTGCCACTAGCAGTGGGGAGCGGAAAGGGTGCTACTCGCATTCGTCGAAATTCAGTATAAGCTAGTACGGCATAAAAACCATTAGTGACTATATGGGTTTCCTTTCTTTTGCAAGTTTGAATTCTACTCTGTACTAGCCTGATACACCATCTTGATGAACCACCATGAAATATAATCTGAATAAATAAAATTCATCAACTCATGATAATACAAGTTTTAGGATAACAGTAAATTACAGTTACTATTTTTAAGGAAGGAATCTAGCGTTTGGACAGGTACTGTCTTAATCTAATGCTAAATTCTTCATTTCGACATTTATCGACCACCTGTTTGATCTGTAGCATATGCAAGGCTCTATGGAATACAAAAAAAAAAAAAAAAGGAAAGCCAGGGGTCTCTACCTTTTCAGAGCGCTCAGTAGATAGGCACACAAGCATTGAAAAATTTGTACAAGGTATAGAAGCACAGAGAAGGGAATAACCAACTGAATATTGCCATTTGAGCTGTATCTTGAAAGGTGAATAATATTAACATTTGCATTGTCGATTTATTATTTCCATAGCATTTCATCCTTTAGGGACTGACACAGATTAAGCAGTCAGTAATTATTTAATGAATAAATTAAGTTGTGAATTTCATAATTTTAAAAAAATGCTCTGGTAATACCCTCCTAAGTACCATTATGAAACAAACAACAGGATGGGTGTTTGGAAAGCAAAATATTTCCCTTCAGGCTGATTATTGATCATATTCAACTAGGGAAACAAGTAGTAACTTTTCTGTGGCAATTAAGGCCATTCACTACCTTCATTTTGTTTCTTAAAGATCTGTATGGGATAGGGCTCGGGATGTACCTCAGTGGTAAGACTCTTCCCTTGTTGAGAGCCACAGTCCAGCGGCCCCAGCAAACTTCCAGCTGATTGGCTCACTATGGCCCCAGCAAACTTCCAGCTGATTGGCTCCTCTGCAGTGATGCTCATTGGGCTGTTTCCCAGCCCTTTCAGACCAGGGAGCTGCTCATTGGGGGACTCTTTTGGCTCCCCCCACACAACCCAACCAATCGGCCTCAAGAGTGGTTGAGAGGCTGGCCTGGAGAGCCAATGGTGGCAATTGGGCTCTGAGGGAATTCCTGAAGAGTTCTGTGTGGTATGGCGTGTGTTCATTCTGCTTGACAAGTGGCTCATGAATTGTGCTCAGCCAGGCTGTGGCATCCCTAACATGTGTGAAGCCCTGAGTTCAATCCCCAGTGCGGCAAATGAAATAAAAACATGTGTAGGATAATAATGATCAATCTAGTTCCCAAATGTGTGCCTGTTTACCTCCTAGTTGGAATTCCTGTGCTTCTTTCTACAAAAATCCTGTTGAAAATTTACATTGGGATATTCCAGTGTGAAAACAGAATTAATTATATCTAATCTTCTTCAATAGGAAAATTTATCCCTAATGTATTCCATATTCTCTTCAATAAAGCAAAGCCACTAATAAAACATCAAAGTGGTGCAACAGCTTTATTTTCACTTAAAAATATAAAATTTCTTAAATTCTTCTCCAAGACTCTGTATTGTGGAAATTATTGCATTATTGATTTTTTAATTAGTTTGATTTGTATGATTAAATTGAAGATTTAGTTAAGCAGCCTGGCTTTATTCACTAAACAGGAATAACAAAAATAATACTAACCCCAGATGTTTTATTTTTAATCTTTTCTTTTTTTGGTTATTTTTAGTTATACATGAAATAGAATCAATTTTGATAAAATTATACATGCATGGAATATATCTTATCCTAATTAGGGTTCCAGTCTTGTGAATATATGTGATGGTGGGATTCACTGTGGTGTATTCATATTATGTACATAGGAAAGTTGTGTCAGATTCTTTCCACTGTCTTTTCTATTTGCATTATTGATTTTTGCTTCAGGACTTAAAATTATGAAATTTTTACTGTTTAATATAAACACATTTCACAGAAAATAGGAATATGCTGTTGTAAAATAAACTAAGACAGATTAATATTTTTCTAGCAATTGAACACTTGGAAAAACTAGTTAGCAGATTGATGACCATTTTTTCTGAGTTACACTCCCCAAAAATGTAGT